AATCTAAAATATTTTGTGCAAAGACTGTACAGAAATTTACAACAGTTTAATTCCTTGTAGAAGGAATGAATGATGAGGTCTTGTGGCTGATGAAATAACTAGTATCCCATTGCATAACCGGATCCCCTTGTGCATTTTTCGCTAAACATCTTCCTCCAGCTCTGTATCCCTGCTATGCAGGCTTCACTCTGTGTATCCACCGGAAACTTAATATATTTGGGAAAGGAAAAATATTTGATCTTAAACAGAGAGTGGTCATAGACTGGTAATTTTGATTAATGAAGGCTGTGGATTAAAATGAAATAATATCTATGTTAGTGTTAAATACCTAAACCGCAATAACCTGGTACAGTCCTAAATTATAAACTTGTATAATATTTAATAGTGTTCACTTCTACTTCCTGTATAAGTGTGCATTTTTCTTCCTATGTCTTATGCTGGACAGTAGTAGGCTCAAACATAGTTTATCTTGGTAACCCCGATTTTTAAAGTACAGTTAAATTGCAATAGTGATGGGTGCTAGTATATGGAATGTAACAATGGTTAATGTAAGTGGTTTTTGGATTTGGGTTTTTTTTTTTAACTTAAATGACAACAGAGTGGTAGCATTCCTTTTTAAGGATGGAGATGAATTCTGGAGATACCTTTTAAAATTCATTTTGCTTTTGCACCCGGGCCAGATTCCAGAGGAATAACTGTGTGGTAACCAAGCAGTGGTTCATCTCAGTGTTACTCTGTCAGAGTGTGGATATAATACTTGCAGATGCAAGAAACTGTTAGAAGTGTGCTTTCATTAGACCTTTCATAACTTTCTTTGAGGCTAAGGTTTTGAAGGAACAGTTCTTGGTTTTGCCATAAACATTCTGACACCTACTAAAACATGTCCATCTTTGGTCTAAGGTTTTAAATACGTAGTTTTGTCTGAACCTTGGTAAGTTATCAGGTAAATGGTTACCTACTGATGTCTGTAGGATCAGTGTCTATGTAAGTGGACAGAAAGTAGTTATGTAGTGACTTGACAGGTGTTCACGTCTTTTAGCTGGAGATCTGTTATCTGTGGTGACAACTTCTTCAAGATGCCGGTTTTAGATACCAACTGCGGGTTGCAGCCCTTGCAGCTTTCGTAGAACCATAGAATAGTTTGGAAGGGGCGTTTAAAGGTCCTCTAGTCCAATGCCCCCTGCAGTGAGCAGGGATGTCTTCAACTCGATCAGGTTTCTCAGAGCTCTGTCCAACCTGACCTTGAATGTTTCCAGGGATGGGGCATCCACCACCTCTCTGGGCAACCTGTTCCAGTGTTTCACCACCCTCATTGTAAAGAATTTCTTCCTTATATCTAGTCTAAATCTACCTTCTTTTAGTTTAAAACCATCACCCCTTATCCTGTTGCAACAGGCCCCACTAAAAAGTCTGTCCCTATCTTTCTTATAGGCCCCTTTAAGTACTGAAAAGCTGCAACAAAGTCTTCCCAGAACCTTCTCCAGGCTGAACAACCCCAACTCTCTTAGCCTTTCCTCATAGGAGAGGTATTCCAGCCCTCTGATCATTTCTGTGGCCTTCCTCTGGACCTGCTCCAACAGGTCCATGTCTTTCCCGTGCTGAAGGCTCCAGAGCTGGATGCAGTACTGCAGGTGGGGTCTCACCAGAGCGGAGTAGAGGAGCAAAATCACCTCCCTCGACCTGCTTGCCGTGCTGCTTTTGATGCAGCCCAGTTGGCTTTCTGGGCTGCGAGCGCACATTGCCAGCTCATGTCCAGCTTTTCATCAACCAGTACCCCCAAGTCCTTCTCTGCAGGGTTGCTCGCAATGCTTTCATCGCCCAGCCTGTATTGATACTGGGGGTTGCCCTGACGCAGATGCAGGACCTTGCACTTGGCCTTGTTGAACCTCAGGAAGTTCACATGGGCCTGCTTCTCGAGCTTGTCCGGGTCCCTCTGGATGGCATCCTGTCCTTCTGGCGTGTCAGCTGCACCACTCAGCTTGGGGTCATCTGCAAACTTGCTGAGGGTGCACTCGATCTCACTGTCAGTGTCATTGGTCAAGATATTAAGTGGTACTGGTGCCAATACAGACCCCTGAGAGACTGTTGTTTGTAATAGTTGTTGTGACCTCAGATTTTTGTGACTGGTGTCTTATGGTTAATAATGAGTTAATTATTAGCAGTATCATATCTTTGTCTTTTGTTGTTCTGTAAATCCTGTTCTGCCTTTTGCCAGTTACATCTTGAAGTACAAAGTAGAAATCTTTCACTGTATTTGAAACTTAATCTCTCTTATATTGTAGTAATTATAATTCAGCTTTTGTTAAAATCCTCTGTGGAATCTGGTATAAGCATCATACTGATGCAAAAGGAAGAGCCGAAGGAAGGAACGATACAGTGGAGGCCTGGTGCTTGGAATTCCTGCATTCTGTTTTTCTTTATATTTAAAGAGCAGCATGGAGCATCCAGCAGTATTCTAATCCACAGGATACCACTGACAAAGTCTAGTTGTGTGATAGTCTGTTGCTTTTTCTTTTTTTTAAAGAAGGGAAATAAGTATCAAAAGTCATTATTCATGAAATGGAATAAACTGGAATTTCCACTTTAATTTGACTGTGGAAATTGCAAGTTCCCTGACTTGAAAAACAGCTCTTTACAACATGTGCTGAACAGCACTATCTTGCTAAGTGAGCTCACGGTGCCAAAACATAGCTTTTAGGTTAAGCAAACATGAGTTACTGACATCACTGACCTGATAAACTGCAGAGCAAGCTTTTCCACCTCTATTTAGCTGATAAACTTTATCAAAAGGTGGACTGTTTGACAAAGAGCAATTTTCTGTAAATGTATTGAATGCCATCCTCTTTGCTTTGGCAGTCAGTGCAGATCCATTGTTAAATTAGGCTGACTGACCCAATATTGAACAGCAGCAGATGTGAAAGATATGGGAACTATGTCAACAGAGAGTTTATGCTGCAAAAGGTGCACATCTCTTTAATAGATTAAAATCATACGAAGAGGCAGATAAAAATCTTGGTCAAATGTCCGAAATTTTTTTCCTGCATTCTTCCAGAAAGAAATTCCACATCTGGAACAGCTGTAAAGTTCTGAGTAATAGCTCAGAAGCTTGTAATTAAATAGATTATTAGTTAAAATTTCTTAATGTGTTTGCCGGCTTGCTTTGTCAAAGTGAAATGTGGAAGTTTCCTCTGTCAGACCCTCAGCAATCCAGTAACAAGCCTAGTAGCTGAGACGTTCCGTAAAACATGAAATCTCAGTGCTTTGAAGAGCTTAGTTACATGCTCTGTGTAAATGGGGAGAATGTAGGGGTATAGACGATGTAATTCAGCATAGCTTTAAAAAACAAATTACATAGCTGCAGAGTTAAGATGCAGATACAGGATGAAGCTTTAATTGGTACGTTAGTAGTTTGGGTTCTGCTGGCTTGACTGGACATACTGTTCTTAAAAGATTGAAAGCACAATGTGCTGCGTGGAAGACTTGAATTTTCTTTAGGAAAAAGGGTGTTCAGTAACTTGCTTGAGGTAGTTGCAAGTGTTTGTCTTGGGTGAATTGCCAGCCTGTCTGTGCATTAGTCGGCCAGCATCATTTACAAAAAAAAAAATAAATCCAGACTGGAAGACAAGGAAAGTTCTGTTGGCTTACAAAGCTGTCTTCTGTTCTTAGTGTGTAAGTACAGGGTTTTAAATAAATTGGAAAATGAGAAGTGAGATTTTTGCTACTGCTAGTCTTGAGGAAAGGAGGGAGGAGCGTGCAGTCTAAAGGTTGTCTTAAATTAAAAATAATCATAAATCTGACCTCTTGTTGAGCTAGAGTTAGCTAGTATTGGGAGAGGAGGGAGGATTAAATGTCGGTCTGTAAGATTGCATTGGCCTACCTAGGGCCTATGCTTAGTTGTAGTGTTTTGGTTTTGTAGTTATAACTCTGAGCACTGATGTTTAAAGAATTACTAATCTTGTGAAAACTTCTGTGACTAGAATTTAGACCTGCTTTTTGTACACTTGTGCATACACATGTAAAAATAGATAAATTGCTACTGAGCATTCTAGTTTTGTGCAACAACTTTTATATATTACAGTATAGTAAGAAAGTATTGCCAATATTGTTAGGTTGGGAGACTGAGCTTTAAAATTGATGGTTAGAACAATGCAAGACTGCATACTCTGCATTTCAGTTAGTTTATGTCTTCATTTGCTAGAGAATTGTTTTGGTTTTATTTATTTTTGCTTGTCAAACATCAGAACATAGGCTTTCTCCAAGCTGACTTTGTGTAGAAACAAACCTAAGCACTTCAAGGGACTGAAAGAATTGACCCGAAGCCCTTTGCTATCACTGCCTCAAGCAGTTTGGAAGCGTACATTCCAGCTGTATGCTTCCATGCCATACTTACAGGGGGAGTGTAAAGAACTGAGTACAGACTTGTGCTCCTGCCTGCTGCAGGGTGCTTTGGAATATCAAGGAAAGGCAAAACTCTGAGGTTAAACCAAGAGCTTTGAGGGAGATCTGCCAGTATTACAGCTTTCTCTACTGGAAAGACTCTTGATGCTTAATCTGGTAGGTTTCCTTCACATTTCACTTAACTTGGAGATATAAGTTAAAAAAAAATGCAGGCATACAGGAAGCATATCTCAGTAAAATAGTTAACACATGGAGTACTTGGAGAGCCAGTGTACTTATATTGATAAATGCAGTGACCATTAAAGATGGATGTACACTACATATTAACTTACTCTGTGAAGTACGCACAATGAGAGTTACTGCTTCTGGTGCCTGAGCTGGTTCAGGTTACCGAACTGCTGGTTACTGTGCCGCAGATGGCTTTGCTTGCTTTCCCTGTAACTGCTGTGGCTTACGTAAGCTTCTAGAAGGGCAAGGGCTTTAGGACTCCCCTAGGAGTTCCTAAAACCAAGAAGAAAATAATACACATTCATTATCTCTTTACTTTCTCTTGCCTGTGGAACCATTGGGTCAATCTGCTCTTACAGCTTTGTTATGAGGCGTGTAGGGCTTTGAGTCTTATAAATAGTTTATCCTCTGTGCAAGTAACGTCTGTCCTCTGTAACGTCAAGAAGAGGGATGAATCTGCTCCAAAAAATTTTTAAATAAAATCTTAGCAATAAAGGTATGTCGGTAAAAACATGACTGTGTTGCAGTTAAAAATGCTTGCTATTGTAAAATATATATATGCTACTTTTAATATTACCATTTTTTCCTACTTAAAGCTGAATTAAGCTTTGTGTTCACTGATAAAAGCGTTCTTTGAAATTAATACTAGCAGTTATATTGGTAGTGAAAATGTGTTTCCTTGTGAATAATGCAAAAATGTGTATAAATAAAAATATGCACTAAACTAATCTATGCATATGTTTTCTTTTTTTTTTTTTCCAGTAAAGTGAAGCAAGGTCTCCTTCCTAGCTTAGAAGATCTACTTTTCTATACTATTGCAGAAGGACAAGAAAAAATACCAGTTCATAAATTCATAACTGTAAGTTTACTGTTCCAGCTAACTACTGCAAGGTTTTTTTAACGTCCTAAATGCGAGAATACAAAGCAAAGAATTTCTGTTATACATGGTTAGCTGCAGCAGGGAATGTAACTATATTCTGCTCCTTCCCCACCCCCCAACACTGTTTCTGTAATTAAGTAGAGAATGAGTGTGCTAGTATTGTTACTCACTACTTTGCTGTGCAAAAGAGTGTGCTTGAAAGCATCTGTGTCTATGGCAGGGCTGGATAGTATTTGCACTTCTGTAAAATGTAGTTGGACCACTGTGAATTTCAAATGGCATTAATCCTTTGACATCAGATGCAGCCGAAATGGCAAAAGGATCAGTAAGGTGTCAAAATATCTCTGTGTTGATAATGCAGTGGCAGATGTCTCTTATGTTGAGAAATGAGACTGAGCAGTAGAGAACTTGATTGTAATAGCATTTTTTTTTTCATTTTAGTAATTATTGTTTTATTGTAATAGGCACTCAAATCTACAGGATTACGTACATCTGATCCCCGATTGAAAGAGTGCATGGATATGTTAAGACTGACCCTTCAAACAACTTCAGATGGTGTTATGCTGGACAAAGACCTTTTTAAAAAGTAAACTTTCTGTCAATAATGTAACTGTATAATTCTGAACGAATGTTGTCTGTGTGTTACTGACTGCTGTCTTAGCAGAGACATATATAAATCAATGTGTAATTAGAAAGGGAGTCAAACACACTCCTACTGATGCTTTTTCATACGAGTTTATTTTCTGGTTTCGTGCAGCAAGCAGATTGTGTGGTCTCCATGAGAGTTTAATGTATTGGTGGTGTTTGCGTGTGTGCCTGACCCCATACTGCAACTCTCAGTCAGATGCCAAGTAAATTAATTGATGCAGCATGGAGTATTTAGTAACTTCTCTCTTGCTGCATCATTGGTTTTTAATCTGAAGTTCAGGATGTTGCTTCTGTGTAGTGAGATGCTTGGAGTATGTATGTAGTTAATTCTAAAAGCGAGTATATGAAAAACAGAGTGAAGTTAAATTTCAGGGTATTTAGTGATGAGAGCAGTTAGGACTGTAGACACTGCTTTGGTCTGTTTTGGAAAAGATTTATGTGCCATATTTTAGTGATACTTTTTTTTAAGAAAAGTCTCTGGTCAGTTAGCTGAACAATATAAGCACTGTTCAGGTTGTCTTCAGTTCATTCCAAGCACACTCCTTTGCTCCCCTACTTACAGTTTTTGTGTGCCAAAAGATTGGAAGTTTAGAGGCTCTTAAATCTTGAAATGAAATTTGTAGACTGTTTTTTGAGTCTGTATTTTTATTCCATTTACAGGGTAGATGACATTATATATAAAACTTGATTCTTTCATGAAGAAATTGTCAATTTTTTTGTCAAATGTTTTGTTGTTCTGTAGCATTTTTTGAATTTGAGCTAATGCCGTTTAGTGCTAGTTTGTCTCAGTTATAATTTAAGCTATATATATGTACGTGTGTAAAGAAGGTGTGTTTACGTATATAATTGTGTATATATTGTATACATATAAGGATATAAGATATGCTGTATGCAATATATACTTAGATATTTACATAGTTTATAAAAATATAAAGTATATATGTTGTTTTTTTAATATATATATATATAAACATTTTTGGAAGAACATTGAGAAAAAAGGAAAGTCTGTGTGTGTGACAAAATAAGAAACCAGTCAACTCCATAATCAAACGTAGGATACTTATTAAAGGTACAACATGGACCAACTTTATTCCTGTGTTTAAGTTCAAGACCAGGTCTTCACTTGTTATTTGTCAGCACAGTAAAAGCTGTAAATTGTTAGAGTCAGAAACCTTCCTAGGTGTATGGTTGAATTGGAAAGGAAATATTTTTGCTGTTATGCATTATGTTTATACTAGAAGGCTTGTTTGTAATAGTAGACTATGAATTATGTTTTAGGCAAGGGCTCTGTATTGAAAAAGGGACAAGTGATTGCTAATTAGAGGGCTGAAGATTAACCTGTGTTGTACGTTATGTCTCTAGGATTTGATCCTCTGTGTTAGGGGAGTGGTTGTTGCTATGATAATTTGTGGAAAGCTTACATGGTTGTTTCTTGTGTAGGAAGAGCTTTGAACGTAAAGATTATACAGAGGGTGGAGGGGTGAATCGCTTTTCACATAGCAGATTTTCCTTTGCAGCAGCACGTGTTAACCTTTTTTTATAAATTAAAACCCCCTGGACTTCAGTTATCTCTACCTTCTAGGCATGCTGCTTTTGCTGTATGGAGACTTATACAAGGTTCCTGTATTTTTTGTTCTTCTCCAGGTGCTTAAGGTGTGAAATATAATAATGTGTCTACTCAGATGTACTAATGTCAGGAATTTGAAGCTTCAGTTCCCTAAATGTAAAAGTCAGTGGTGTAATTTTCCTGTTGAATTTGAATCCAAAGCTGCTAGGTCAAATAAAACATCAAGGATAAGTGACATAGAGTAGTGACAGCATAAGCTTGACTAAATCAATCAAGTCCAGTAGAAATCGCCTGTAGAATATTTTGGTCATGCATCTGTACTGTTCATCTTTGTAACAGAAGTTTCAACACCTCTTTAAGGGTTCTAAACATTAGATTCCAATTTTACTAAAATTGCTTTATTTTGAAGGTTTTTGGCTTTACAGTGCTCTCCACAAATAAAAATTTTGGAAAAAATCTCCCATGTTGCAGGCAGAACAACTTGGGGTTTTAATCTTTTATCTCCAGAGTTTCGTGAATTGAAAGCTGCACTGGTGCACATTTTGGAGAGAACGTGTGATAAATTTCTTGAATTAGCTGTTCATGTTACATCTGTATAACATAACACTTGGTCTTTGTAGCATGAAATGATACCTCTCTGAGAACAGCCTGCTTACTGAAAGCAGCGCAGCATGCTAGTTAGCTTGCTATGTGAATATTTTTCTTTTTTTTTGGTACCCTAGCTACAGTACTAATTAAAGTAGTAGTACTACTATCTAATTATTGTTAGATGAAACAGGCAACTTAAATATGGAAGATGAAGTGTGCATGTTTTGACATTTTTTTATGTTTCTATGACATTGTAGCTAATTTGCAGAAAAATTTCTAATAATCTTTGTAGGAAATCCTCCTATCCCTCTTACCTTCTCCTTTAACTTGCAGCTTGTTGATAACAGAAAAATAGACTTGCAAAGAGCCCTATTTCTTAATTAACAGTATTTGGCGGGAGGAGGCAGCGTGAGGAGGAAAGACATGAGGCAATCAGAATTGAGTTATCCTGAAAATGGTGTAAATTTGAATGAGATTATAGCTATTGAGTAACAGTTAAAACTGAGATTTAAATTCGATTCTTTTTCAGAATAATTTACTTGGCTTTGTAGACTTAGCCTTTGTCACAAGGCGCTGTCTATCCCGCTTTTTTGACCTAGACCTGTGGTCTTGATAGCCAGATCTCCTCTGATCTGTGGGTAGGAAGCAGCAATCTGGGTATGTTATATTCTAAGCATAAGCCTGACAACCTGTGGCTGCATCTCAAACAGGGTTATCTATATGCTTCCAAGTGGCTGTGCTGCTCTCTCAATCTAGGTAGCAAATCCTGAGGAGAACTTTCATTTTAGATATGCTTAGCCCAGGTATGAGTGAATGCGTTCTTGCTGTTTGGTTGAGCAACTAGAAAGCCTTTGACAGTAGATGTATAGGACTTCTGCTGTGCTATAGTATTAGTACCTCATTTGTCAAAATAATGTAACTTTTTTTCTTAAAATGTCAAAATATATTCAACGCTTCTGCAGACCTAGTCTTGCTGGCTGGAAATGGAGTTCCACATTCCTTTCTGTAATGCTTATACTGCAGCTTTTTAAACAGGGTAAAAGGGTGTCCATTCAGCCATATAGATAGCCTAACAGTTCTTTGGAATTAGTGGGAGTTCAGACTCTGTTTTTAGCAGATGTCTACGTTGTATAGGGAAGCAATAATCAGCAAGTGGAGCCAGAACTTGAGAAAGAATGGAAAAATGTAACAAGGTGTACGGTAAAGGAAACAAAGTGATTCTAACTTTATGCTAGAGACCAAAGATTCAGTTTCCCAAAAAAAACCCGCCAGGCTGTAACTGTCACTGAAAGTTATTACAGATCATAAGACTTGCATCCTAATCTTCCTAACCCAAAAGTATCAGGGAAGTTTTATAGTTTGAAAAGACTTGTTTTCAAATGGGGGAAGAAGTGCTTGGACTTGGCAGAACAAAATTTTTTAGGGTGAGATTATAAAGTTCGGAGAAATGAAAGAATTTGAGGTGGGAAATTTTTAGTGTAATTATCTTGAACACTGCTGAAGTATGTGGGGGATAAGAGCTGTGTTGTTTGTAAAATATGACGGCAGAAAGATTTTTATTTGTCAATATATTAACTTACTTAAATTCCTTCCTGTGATCTTTTCCTACTGCTCCACTTCTGAGCCTCAGACCATTCATCTCTGAAGGGTAACCTGGAACATAAACCAGTTAGGAACTCTGGTGGGGAAGAGGTGCCAGCTGCAGAATGTTAGAGGCTGTCAAGACTAGTGTCCTCTGTTGACTGAAAATATTACTGCCCCATTAATTGGAGCTCACTAAGACCCCTGTCATTTTGTCAATGCAATAATTGTTCCAAATACCTGCCTAGCTTAATTGAACCCCCATATTTAATGCCTGTGAATTCCTATGATTTGCCTGGGTTAAGGAGTACCAGGATAAATACCTACACGCTGGCCTTGGCAGAAGTCTGGGAACAAGAACTTCTTGCAGAAATAGGTAATGTCCTTAACCAGCATAGCTATTTCTGCAGAGAGTTTCAATCTTGAGCTTAAAATGACTGAATTATTGAAGTGAGCATTTTAGACTTGGTGTGAATTGGTAAGTGTATAAATGCCCTTCCTGTTTCAGAAGCATTGTGTAGTATCAGAGGACTGTATTTCAGTGCATACTGCCTTCTTGTTGTTTTCCACACTTTGTATTCTTGAGTTGTTCTAATGGGTTTAGGTGAACTTCAAATATTTATTTTTTTTTCCTTACGAGAATTCTTAATGCGGTTCAGGTGATTCAGACAATGGGGAAGTGCATCTGAAGGTTAAACCTAGTGCATATGTCTGGTGTTATTCCTTCAGCACATGTGGCTGCTGTAACTGTTATTCATTACTTCTGAAAAGGGGTTGTTGCCCCTGGAGTAGGTAACTGTGATTGGAGGCTGCTGGGAACAAAAACAGGATTTTTTGCAAGATATGTAAAAAAGGAGTGGATACGCACGACAAATTACAACAAAACCAACTCAATTGCTATTTTAATATGGAGTGTCGAAGCAGCTTATTACAGACGGAGCAATTCTTAAGATGCCAGTGTATACAATGGAAACTTCTTTACTGTTTCATTTTTGGAGAGTAGTGCCTTCCAGCATTTGAAATGGTTGTCAGCGGAATTTGGAATAGTCTCCTAAGTACAAAGGAGGTCAAACTGAAGCTTTAAAGAAAGAGGGGGATTCGAAGGGAAGATAATTCTGTCTGTTCACTGGTCTTTGTGCAACTTCATTTTGAACTGCTAAGGACTTTAATAATTGGATTGTTGGAAATATCTATTCCAAGTGAAAGTATTTCCCTAAAAAATAATTTATTATTTTTCTGAGTAAGTCTTCATTGGAAGGATATGTGCTCATTTGCATATAGACCTAGATGTTCTTAACTTCCCATTTGTCTGAATTAACAGTTTGTTTCTGCATAGTATGAAGGTGTTAATGAAATTGTTTGTTTGGTGTTAAACCTCCCTTTCTCTTCCTTGCACTGGGATTAGGGCTGTTAATACCCTTTATCAGGTCATATTTCAACTGACATGATAATGGCTCCCAATTCCCACCCCTGCTCCTGCTCACCCCCCACCCACAGGCACCCCACTTCAAGCAGCATGTCTCAGTTTGCAGTTTGATCCTTCCCTTCTGTTTCTTCTAGATTAAGTCCTTTCCTTTTTACATTATCAGTTTTTTAAATGTACCAGATGAGCTGATGTTCACAGGGTGTGGGTGATAAAGTATTGTGAGTTAAAAGGCAGCAAAGATTCCTTAACTGGTGTTAGCTTGAAGCCAGAGACTTGCAGTACTGCTCACTGTTAACTTTAGTTTAGAAGATGTCATGAGTGTTCCGCAGGGTTTTGCTCTTAATAGAGTAGAAACTCATTCCAGTTTGGTCTGCTGGCAGTGTTCATGGTGAAATGAGTTGGAAGAGAACGAAACCAACCCTGAACCTCAGAAGTTTGATCTAACTCTGAAACTAGCACTTCTTTGGACAAGGGCTGGGTTAGATGGCTGTCAGGTGTCTTGACCCTAAGAAATGGGTGGCTTTGATCCCTTTTGAAAGCTTAGATGCTACTCGAAAGCAAATTGATAGTACTTCACAGTACAACCTTACGGTTGAAACTTCAAATAAGGGCTTTAAATAAAAAGGCATAAAAACAAATGTAATGAAACAATCTTAAATATTTTTAAAAAATTATGTGTAACTTATGGAGTGGAAAATTGAAAAGTGTTTCTAATAAAGACCTGTAACTTCAAGGGACTGATGGTCCTTATTTAAATAGCATATAATTGCTGCTTAAGTAGGCTTTTTGACAGTACTTTGACAAAATACTAATAAACTTTTTTAACTTTTTACAGGTGTGTACAAAGTAATATTGTGTTGCTTACTCAAGCTTTCAGGAGGAAGTTTGTCATTCCAGATTTTATGTCGTTTACTTCACATATTGATGAGTTGTATGAAAGTGCTAAAAAACAATCTGGAGGAAAGGTAATCTGTTTGTAAATTCAACTTCAAATGTCTATAGATTTCTTGATATTAAGCAAATATATTTGTTAAGTAGACAGATTTTTCTTCACATTTTTAGCAAAATGTTAAACTTGTAACTTGATAAAATAGTTTTGGAAGTTCAGTTACGTCTGCAACTTATAAACTGTGTTACAAGTAAAGCTCCTTGCCTCTCTCTTTTGCAGTTTTGAGGTTAGAAAGAGAAAACAGTTGTGTTCTTTCTTTTTTTACATAAACTATAAAACTTCTGTATAATTTGTCAGACTAAACTTAGTCTATAAAAGAATTATGCTACTCTACACAAGTGGCTGGGCTGTGTGACAGAAATAGTTGTCAACACCATACCTATGTTTGTAGATAAAGTTTATTCTAGTGCTTATTTTCAAGAAATTAATTGAAAACCCCCAAACTTTGTTAGAAGCTAAAACTCTATATGATTTGAAAATGTTAAACATGCTGCAGCATAGAACAGAGATTCCTCTTGGAATGTGCTGAAGTTTGTAATACCATTGAAGAAATACTTTTTTTGATAATGATCTAGTGAATATAATAATCTGTAATGAAGTTTTGGATACACTAGGTGATTATTAGTGGAATAGTTCAGTTGTAACTGGTGTATCCTTTCCATTGGCGTTTATGTCAATTAACGTATGTTAACATACAGTTAAATATTTTGAATGTTGTAATGTCTCTGTTTTTATTTCACACTGTGATAGGTTGCTGACTATATTCCACAACTGGCCAAGTTCAGCCCTGATTTGTGGGGCGTGTCACTTTGCACAGTGGATGGACAGAGGTATATTCTAACTTCTAGATTTTACTGCTTCAATTATTTAAGTTATCTGACATATTGCGAGGGGCAGGGAGTTGGGCGTGATGATCCATAAGGGTCCCTTCCAAACTGGGATATTCTATGGTATACAGCACTTCATGAGATCTCATGGTTTAATAAAGAAAAAGCTTGTTTAAGAAGTGAAATCCACTTGATCATATTAACATTTTTTCAACTTCTCTGTCGAAGATGAATTATTTTGCTACTACTATAAAATATTGTTTAAATAGTATTTGTAAGTACTATATTTGAAGCTAGATTATATTGTGCTTATGATCCAAACACAGTAATGAAGCTGTTGGTAATTTCAGTGATTACCAAAGGACAAGATAGAGACAATGCTTACGTAGTATTAATCTGTTGAAGAGCTTTGTCTAATAGTACCTCCATGCCTCAAGCTATATTATTTTTTCTTTAAGTCATGATATACTTAAAAGTTAGTTCCTTTTATACATTTTAATGTTCTTACTGTAGCATTATTATATGATCACTATATGTCACTGAAAAAATCCAGACTCATATTCTTTAAAAAGAAAATGAAGATGTGGCAACTGGACAGAACTTAACATGATTTTGCTTTTCAAGTTTATTAAACTTACTCCTGTAAGGGTGTGTATAGGTCTTGCATACAGCTGGAGTGATTTTATTTTTATTGAATAGAGACTCAGTGTAGCAGAGACAGTTAATGAGCCCAAATGTAAAGGAGTATCTCGCACAGTCTAGCTGAGAAGTAAGGGCAACTATCCTGTGTCCACCTTTGTGACTAGACAATGTGAGATACTCGTCAGCTGTCTCTGCTGTCCTGCAGTTTGATATTGTTATAGTGCATATTCTGAGCACCATAATTTTTAGGTATTTGGTGTGCTCAAGTGATGGGGCATTCTTGAGAGAGCATCAGACTTGCTTATTGTGACTGTGGGTTTTAACGTGATCTGTTATGATCTGTATGCTTGTTTCTTATTAGCCATATGCTCTATAATCTCTAGAGGAAGAGCTGTGCAAGTGAATTGAAGTATTTTTCAGCTCCCTCCTTAAGTGTCTGAATTAAATTTATTCATAGTAAAACTGTTCTCCATTTTGAATATTTTAAATTGCCATTTTGCTTTGTTTTGGATATTATAACATGTACTAATGCAAGTTTTTATAATGCTAATTTTTGTAGTATTTAATGTTGTGTAATGTTAATTTTTATAATGCCAAGATAATTTTTGTGAGTTTCTCTGAAAACTTTTCACATTTTCTGCAAAGAAGCAAATATGCTTCTGATTTTACCATCAGACAAGTGGTTGCTTGGAGCCTTTGCTCTAGATGGGGCACATGCTGCTTGTCTGAGTCATTCTTCAATGCAGTCTGACTTGGATGTTGAAAGTAAACTTTTCAAAAGGTGGCATTTAATAATTGTAATAAAATACCTGTGCCATTATCGAAAGGAATGTAAATACAGCTATTTAATTATTGCCCTCAAATTCCAAAAGTGAATTGGATCTCACGTTGTTCATATAGACATATAAATATATATTAATTGACGTAAGTGTATAGTGGCTATATACAGGTCATACCCTGCTGAGTGTGGTTTGCAGTTGAGTAGGGTATGTGATAGTAGAGCTCTGAGGTCTTTGGTCCCCGTCCTCCCCGCTCCAGTACAAACCCATTTCTGAACTTGTTTTTATTTTATTACATCTGCAGTAATCACCAGCAAGTGACTTTGTTATGCTTAGCTTATGGAGGCAGTTGTTAAAACCTTTACATCTTTTTGTTTTGCTCTTCAAAATGAGACTCAGTAATAATATGCTTTCATTTTGGGGGTTGTTTTTGTTAATAGTCCTAGTAGGTTGAAGAATAAATGAAGCATTTAACACTCTACTTGCCACAGCTGGCAAACAGGAAATTTCAAACCTCTTCATCTGTGTTTTTCCCAGGCATTCTGTTGGTGATACCAAAGTTCCGTTTTGTCTTCAGTCCTGTGTAAAGCCCTTGAAATACGCTATTGCTGTTAATGATCTTGGCACAGAGTATGTGCACAGATATGTTGGTAAAGAACCTAGTGGATTAAGATTCAACAAATTGTTCCTGAATGAAGATGGTAAGAGATATATAATACTTAATAAAGCAAATACTCAATTTCAGAAAATTATTAAACAAGCTATGCAGTTTTTTCAGTCTTCTCATTTGACTGTATCCTCTTCAGTCTTATTAGACAGTGTCCCAAAATATTTTGCCATCAGCAAGGTGTCACTCACTTTTGACTTATTTAGAATGCTAGTAAAAATGCTTTATTACTTCTGTTCTATTTGCTAGTATCCAGCTGTAGGAAAAAAACGAAGAATTTTGATAATACAGGTATTTGGAATGTATCTCTGTTTGGTTGAGTTGGCAGCAAGTGTTCCTTAATCATGCCTTCTGTAAAGTGATGGTGAAAGAATCAAAGATGTTAAATTTTTAATTTTTAAGAATTAAGAATTTTTAAGAAACATGAATGTCACTTCCCTTCTCAGCCCTCTGAGAAGCAGGTGCTGGTGCCAAAGGCCAGCGTTGGCTAGTTTTCAGAGGGCAAAACTGAACACATCTTCCCACAGATTATTCTAAACTTAATTTGGCTACTGATTCAAAACAACATGGGGTTTTTTTTCTCTGGTGGCGCTTTTTTTCCCTGTGGCAGGAGTGCTTTAGTAAGAATTTCTTGTGCAGTACTTTCTCAAGATTATTTTTTTTTCATATTACATTAATTCTGAAGCATGAAAATGTTATTTTTAAAAACATGGCAAAAATCTGAGAAGGATGACTCATGTAGCCTTAGAGGAAATACTGGATGTTATCTCTGAAACACAAATGTTTCTTCTAGCAGATCCTTTTCAGTAAGAGGACAGACATTGTTTCTGTTACCATGGTATCGCAATTAATATTTAATTAACAGCATAAGGCTTGGATATTTTTGGCAAGGAGTGTATTGAGTTCTGGCTGAAATACCTATATTATTAATATAGAAATGATACATAATTGTATTTAGTACATACCTTAAAATTATCATTTGAAACTTAGAAATAAAACAGATCTTGACAATTTATGTCTTCTTTTTTATTATGTTATTAAGCAGTAATGAAGTACTAATATGTGTATATATCTCCAAGAGGGAATTAAGCATATTGTCAAGCTTTGCTGTCTTGTTTTTGCTTTCCTAGTTTTTCCAAATACAATGTCATACAGTGTGAAGACAGCTGCCTTTCATGTCCTAAAGAAGCTTTCATATAACAAAGTTTTTTGATGGTGCTGAAAATTGCACATTTTTTCCTTTGGTGCAATATAGGTGTTCTGTTTTTTTTATTATTATTTTTAATGAAATGACAGGAAGTATAGTAGTTATTTTCTTCTTGTTATTGCTACTTTTAAAGTTGAACTATGAGTGAAGATGAGTTGCCAGGCTGTGGTCTTCTGTTATGTTACTGTTAGACTTTAAGAGTGTTTATAAGACTGTTACACAATGAAGGAAGTGGGGTTATTGAAAGTTTGACCAGTATGCATGAAATTAATAGAGAGAACAAATTCACATGATAGAAATTTTAAGTATGTACTTGTGTGTCTGATATAGCTGACATGAGAAAAATGCATTAGAACTAACCCTATCTGTATCTATACAGTCCTTAAACGAAAGACTAAAACAAGAGGTAGAAAGCTAATAAACAGGAACATTTCAGTTATAGGGAGAGAAAGGGAAGTTGAGTTTCTGTGAGTGAAGGAGGAGGGAAGAAAAGATTACACTTTACTTGTAGATTTAAATGGATGTATGAAGTTTGGATATGCAGAGTATTTGGCAGTTTGAACATACGTAACTACTTTGAAGATCAGATTTGAAATACAGATATTTAATCTATTTGCTTTCTAATTGTTCTGATACAGTTGAATTTCGTGTTTGTAATTAGGATTTTATGAAGTGCTGGCATTTGAAAACTGGCTAGATATGCATCTGAAGCTACTTTTTATACTTACTACATTAAAGTTTCCTAAAACAGGCCGTTCTTTCATTTCTTTGTTTATTAGTATTGAGATTCAAGCTGGAGAGAATGGAGAATATTACAGGACAATTTTAAATCATGGCTAAAACTGCCAACTTTTAACAAAAAAAGTGTGGCTAAGAATCATGTACATTTTGAGTAAGGTCTGTGCTGTCCAATGGAAATTTGGAAACTTCTGCAGCCTTATGAATATTCAATTTTAAAACTTTCCTTATCAAAAGGAACATACGGCCTATTAAACAACGTAGATTTCTGGAGGATTAAAGCAATTCCCATGTTAATTAAATTATTCTAGTTGATTGATGTAGATCAGGAATTTTACATAGTAAAATGTGTCTGAAATAGGCATAATCAGGAATAGTTTTTATGGCTGTTGAACAGTTTGCAGGTTTTTTCATGCCTATTGAGTTCATGATGCAGCATGTCTGACAATACCTGTATATATGTACAGTTAGTATCTCTCATCCATACATATGGAGACTTTCTCTTGATGATCATTATTTGTAGAATTAGGCCAGTAATATAATTGTTTGTAGAATTTAGTCTGGTAGTAAATGTTGCATTGTAATTGAATGAGGGAGTGCCATGAAACTGTTTATGCTGATGAAGGATTTGGAATTCTTTAAGTTTTTGTATTGAACAAACACATTTTGATGCCATTTCAGGAAGAATTTGGCATGATTAACTGTTCTGTGTATTAAAATGTCTGTATTGTGTATGTGTGGCAACCTCTGCTTTCTGTGCTCAAAGACCGCAAGCCAGTCATAGAAAGGCCCGAGGTCAGTGATGGACTAAAAAGATCAGAACTGAGCACTAGAATTTGAGCTTTAGGGGAAAGATCTAGTTCACATACGGAGTATTTGCGTGGCGGGTTGCTGGAGCAATTGTGCTAATTGTCAAGCAGTTTTGAGGTAATTAAAAAAAATTACATATTTTTCACCATTCAGTAGTGATGTCTAGTGGAGGGATTTTTAGGTAACTAAACATTTTCTTTTATTTTGAATTTATATATATCTGTTGAATATATTGGAGTTCTCTATGTAAAAGGCTGTTCTAGACAAGTATCTCCTTCACATAGGAAAAACAGCGCTGTATCAGAGAAGAATATATTTACTATTCAGAGGCTGGGTTGTTTATGTAAGAGGCAAATCATTGAATCAGTGCTAGACTTAATCAGGGCACCTCAGTTAAAGTTGAGGGGTTATTATGGCTTGTGCTTTTCATTAAGGATAAAAACATGAATTGACTCCGAAGTATAATGACATGATACATCAATTGAAGAGACTTGCAGAGAGGCTGCGTAAAAGATTTTTTTTCAGTCTGAGCAGATCATGAGTGTATGTGTGTGTTTTTGTTTTTAGTGATGTGTGTCAGTTAGCTTTGCAGAGTTTGATACCTCTTTCTAAAGATTAATAGATGAGTTTGTTCACCTCTTTGGCAAAATGTTGAAATTGCAGTATCCATCTTCATTGCTTGTCGTACAATGTGGAATCCCCTTGCTGATGGCACCCACTGTGAGGTAAATCAGTGGCTGCTGCTGCTTTAGGAGACCTATGTATGACCTTCCTTAAAAATGAAGTCAGAACCTATACAGCCCTAAGAGGTGGAAAAAATACTTGGGAATGGAGGTACTATTGATAGGAGTGGAAGGACATCTCTTTGAAATTATCAGGAACCTGATAATTATCATTATCAGAATGCATCTCTTTGAAATTATCAGGAACCTGATAATTATCATTATCAGAATGTAAGATTTTATTTAGGCATCCTGGCCCTTAAAAAAGGCCAGTATATTTTAAATCTGTGGAGAGGTTCTTCATTATAGAATAGAATAGTTCAGTTGGAAGGGATCTACAGCAATCATCTAGTCCACCTGCCGGACCACTTCAGGGCTGTCCAAAAGTTAAAGCACATGTCGTGGTTTAACCCGGCTGGCAACTAAGCACCACGCAGCCGCTCGCTCACTCCCCCCTCCCTCAGTGGGATGGGGGAGAGAATCGGGAAGGAAAAAAAAAGGTTAGAGCCGTGGGCTGAGATAGAGACAGTTTAATAAGAGAAAATAATAATAATAGTAATAATGAGAATGGTAAGAGAATATACAGAATATACAAAACAAATGATGCACAATGCAATTGCTCACCACCCGCTGACCAATGCGTAGCCCGTCCCGAGCCGCGATCACTCCCTGAGCCGCGATCACTCTCCCGGCAACCGACTGACCAACTAAGGCCCCCGAGCATGATGTTAAATGGTATGGAATAGCTCTTTGGTCAGTTTGGGTTAGCTGTCCTAGCTGTGTTCCCTCCCAGCTTGTTATGCACCTGGCTGAGCAGGAGAAGCTCAAAAAGTCCTTGAGTAGTCTGAGCACTACTTGGCAACAACTAAAAACATCAGTGTGTTATCAACATTCTTGTAGTACTAAATCCAAGGCGCAGCACTATGCTAGCTTCCATGAAGAAAATTAACTCTATCCCGGCCGAAACCAGGACAGCACATTATTAAGGGTATTGTCCAAATGCCTCTAAAACACTGGCAGGCTTGGGACATCAACCACCTCTGAAGAAGCCTGTAGCTATTGTGGCAATAGAAAGGTTATCTGTCACCTACAGATCTCTGTGTATGGGAGGGGTTTGGAAAGCATTATCTGGTGCTATCCAGATAATAGTGAAAATTGCTTTCCTGGGACCTGGATACCCTGACAGGGTTTATTCTGATTAGAAGAGGCAGTGGTGGATTAATGGAGGGTGTCCTAGGTCTGTGATGTGCTGGTGTTAGGTAGCAGTAGGAGAGACCCTCAAAGAAGAGGTTTTGTTAGTGTGTGGTAAGCCAGGCTGCTGTACCTCCCCTTAGCTGTTACAGCTCCAGCAATGATTGTTCCTTGTTGACTCACCAAGGGGGGAAGAAAACACAACTTCATTTCAGAAGCACATTCAGGAAGTCCATGTTCCTTTTCATCAGAAGGTTCTTGCCATTCTTTGCGTGAGGTGAGCACATGGTGGTGTGTTGGTTGTAAAGTGGCTACAACTGGTACAAGTAGTTTGAGATGTTAAGCAGTGGGAGACAGGAATCTTCAGAGCAGAGGAAAAAGTAACCAAGAACGCCTTGTGACATTGAAGGTAAGTGCTGACAGCTTCAGGGAAATGAGATGCAATAGAATTTCTGCAGGTATAATCTGTTCTGCGGACTTAGCCCATTGATAAGCTTTTGAGTGCTGAATGCTAAATAAACATTACACATCCTTTCTATTCAAATACACGTGATGTGAGGTTTGGGAATTTTTTTTTTTTTCTTTATACTATCTGGCAGATTGAAACCATAGAGATGTGCAGAAGATTCAAGAGCAAAACATTTATAAAAATACTTTCGGAATGGATTGTATATGATTAAGTTGTTAATGTGTTTATGAACTAGAATGATACTCAATATTGATGAGAGGAATCTGGAAAAAAGAGAAGCGTAGCTAGAGCAAGAAATGAGAGTGACAGTGTGTTCTCATCATGCATGAGGTCAATGTTGTGTTGGACTATGTGTCTGGAGTTGGGATCCCCAGTTCAAGGAGAATATTGAAAAACTGGGAGGGGCTCCAATGGAGGGTTACCAAGGTGCTGTGGGGTCCAGGGCATGTAGCTCCCAAGGAACAGGGAGGTTAGGGGCTCCCCTGGGAGCCACTTAAAAACTCTGGAAGAGCAATTGTGAAGACAAAGATTTGTGTAACTCTTGGTAGTGGTGGATGATACAAAAAGGGCCAGTGGCCCCACACTGCAGCTTGGGAGGTGCAGGTTGGGTGTAAACTTGGGTAAACTTGTCATCTAGGAGGAACAGGATGCATAGAGAAGTAGAGGATTTGTTGTGTTCAGATGTTTTCAAGACTCAGCTAGATAAAGGCACAGCTGACCTGATGTAACCTTGGCAATAGCCTTGCTTTGAGTGGGAGGATGGAGGAGATGACCTCCAGATGTCTCTTTGGACCAGCAGTCTGATGGTGTGAATAGTCATTTGACTTGTAACATCTTTGACTGGTGTTCACGTTTTTGATCCCTAAGGAGAGGCAGTGTTAGGAAGCTATGGAAATGTTACATTTTTGCTACTTAGAATCTGGTTTTAATCAAAAGTCAAATATATTTGGCCCAGGTTACTTGCATTATTGACACGAGTAGAACAGGATATTTGATATATGTGGATCTTAAATACAATCAGATGAAATGAGAAAAGTCATGAGTCTATTGCAGAGAGATAAGGAATGGCACTGAACTAAAATTACTATATAAACATTAAGTTTGTATTTTAGGGGAGCTTCAGTTTTTTGGACAGTGGGTGTTGGTCTTTTCACTAATAAAGTTCCTTTTAATACTGACTTTCTGAAAAGTACTAAAGGAATTTATGATGAGTTTTTGGAGATTATTTGATAGTCATAGATGGCTCAGTGCCATTGACCATGTCTAGTGTAATTTTCATGGGAAAATAAGTATGTGTGTATGTACTGTGAATATCAGACTAATCTCCAAAAAGCAATCATCTCAGATTCCTTTTAGTGTGTGTGTGTATTATATATAAAAATAGTGGACACTGTGTGGTTTTTTTTTTTTTTTAAATGAATATATTTTCAAATTTGGAGATAAAGTAACAGCAAATAAAAATAATACAAATTCAAACCATGTATTGAGAATTGGTTGATTGTTTTCAGACACCAGAACCCTAAAAACCAACATCCTAGTTAGAAGGGAGAGCAAAAATGTTAGTTAAAAAATAGCTGTAGGAGGTAGGTGCTGATGAATGAAAACTTGTATTTGGGAAAAGTAGACAGCTGATAAGGAAGGTTCGTTTGGAAAAAGAAGGGGAAAAAAAAAGATGATTCATTCACATGAGCAGCCAAGAACGACTGGGAATGCAGAAATACTCTTAATATGGAGATTGCTGATTAAAATAAAACCTCAAAACTTAAAGTGTAGCAGGTATACGGAAGTCAGTTGTAAAATTAGTTAAACTATAGTGAATATGAGTAAGTTGTTACTTGTATTTCAGACGCTGCCAGTAGAAACCTCTGATACTTAAAAAGAATCAGAATTTTGTATTTATGAATAGCAATAAGGAAATTCAAGAACTGGAATTCTCTTTTATTTTAAAGGACTTGTTTGAACACTTAAAATCACTGAGACTTGGTAACTTGGAGAAAAATGGGAAAGTCCCTTAGGGGTTGTTCCAATTGCAAATGTTGCATTGACCAGATCTTGGAACACTGGAGAGGAAAATTTTCACAAAAAGAAATTATGCCAAACTGATTAATTTACTGGACTCTAAAGTAGCAGTAGGCTGAATTGATCTAAGCTGTAAGATACTTTGCTCAGAGTTACAAAAATAATTACGTATAGTGTTGGATTACAGTATTTTTAATTTAAGATTATATTCCATAATCATAGCTTTAAGTAATAAATTAGTATTTATCATTTTGCACTTGACTGGTTTTGTTTACAAGTGTGTCTTGGGATGTATTTATAATTGAAAATTCTGTTTCACAGACAGGCCTCATAATCCTATGGTGAATGCTGGAGCAATTGTGATCACGTCTTTAATCAAGGTAAAAAGTTCATTTTTAGTTTCTCTCACAGTATTTTAATTGAACATAGAAAAAGTATCTTGTCCGAATTATGAACTGTTTTCATTTTGTGTGCAGTATCTGATGGCAGTTTACTCATTAGCAGGTAGACAAGCTCTGATGTTTTGGAAATAGTAACAATTCCAGACAAATGCAATATTAGACTAGCAGTTTTTAAAAAGCAACAGTGCAGCTGAAAGACTCTTTTTTCCTTAGTGTTTTTACTTTTATTTAGTTTCCTTCTTTAGCTGCACAACACTTGATATTCTCTTGAGAGAATTGCCTCATACTTCTTAAATGCTAAGAGTATGTCCTCAAGAATATATTTTGTAGCACTTAGAAATATGTTTCTGAGTGTCTAATGCTCTTATATAGCATAAAGTTACAAGAGTATTTCTTGCTGTGCAGAAGAAATGAAGATACTGTAATTTGTACAGGACCAATGTGGCTATATTTGCACGTTAGTCTTAATACTGAATTTGTCCACTATTAACATAGTATACAACTAAATTCTGTTTAACTTCTATGTTACGTAGTTTCTGTTGGAATGTTGAATGTGCTTTCTTAAATAAGTCTATCTGTAAACAGTTACCCATATTTTGCTGGGTAAACCATAGCTGAATAATGACTTAACACCTTTAGTCCATGATCTTGTGACTTTTGGAAAGCTGTATTTTATTTTTGCTTAGAATAGCTGTATATATCTCTTGAAGTTGTAACTGGTTAAATTCCATGTATTGCTAATGTTTGCCAGATACTTCACTTGTAATTTTCTGCCTTTTTTTGGTAGCCCCTGGCACAAAAAACTACTTTATTGTTTTTTAAGGGTACCTGCTTAGAATTGTGGGGAACACGTCAGTCCCCTGGAGTTTTGAAGTAGAAAACTTAGTACTGTTACTTCAGAGGTCTAAAAACCTTGTTTACAGCCTTTGTCTTGGTTATGTTTCAAAGTCCATTAGCTTTAGTGTGTTTCCTGCCTCCTATATCCAAATTGTTGATTTTAAAATTACTTAGATCATGATTTTCTGTTATTTTATATTTAAAGAAGGTGTAAGAACTCCTGCTTAAAGACATTTATCTTTAATAGCTGTAGGTGAAAGAAAATGGCCTTAAGTATGACAGGTAAATTTATTCACATTTAATATTTTTAAAGGTTGACTGAGCGTTGAAATTCACTTGGATAATAGTGAATTTTAAAATCTGACTTAACACATTTGTCTGAACTGTCAAAATGTTAGTCCTTCTACAACATGCCCTACTGATCATAAGGCAAAGCACAAGCATGTGCCTCTTGCAGAAGGCACATAGTTTTTGATAAATTGTGTACTTCTAAATAGATAACATGGATTTGTTTACTGCATGCAACTGTGATATTTTTTAGAAGGTTGGGGGATTGTTTTAGCCGGGTGGGTTTTTTTAATTTTTATTTCTTTTTTTGCTGTAATGTTCTTATGAAGAGTATTGCATTGCACTGATGGTTTTGCATGTGGTAATTGCACGTCTGATGGACGCATATCATACTTATCACACTCCATCATTATTTGTTTTCAATGTGATTAAAATGTAGATTATTTTATGTACTGCTTCCACTAAGATACCATTTATCATTTGAATAACTAAACATATTCTGAAGAAAATCACAGGTACAAAGTTACTTAATAGTTGTATTTTTTGTAAATAACTTCCTTACAATCTGCAATTTAACAGTATTCCTACTAACTATGCAGTGATTTAAGTAATTTGAATTTATATTTGATCTAATCTAAGACTTAATTTTTTCTGGAAAAGATGGCTTCGTTAACCCATGTTTTGCCCTCAGTTCATCTGCATTCATTCTGTTTGTTTAAGGTGTTACTTGCGTATCTTGCAGACTCTGTCTGGCTCCTAGAGTCCAAGAAAACTAAGGGATTATTAAACGTGGTCGAATTCACCATGTATGACAGATTAATGATAGCCTGTTGATAGCTATGGAGAGATGGCTGTATTTCAGTCTTAAGAATGTTTTACCTCCTTTGATATTCATTATTTTATCTCTTTCTGAGAAATTGATTTAAGAAGTCTTTTACAATTTACATACATGGTACTGAATTTAGTACTTGTTAGTATGCATGATCTTGCACACAACTGCCCTTAGAATCTGACATAAATCATGATTGCTGTGGATAAGAGATGACGCTTGGAGTAATCTTTTTGTCAGAATATGTAATATGTTAACATTTTAGGGGAAAAAAGGGTTCTTAGCATCGCATATCCAGTTCTGACTGCCTTAAGAATTTGATAGATGCACCTTGGAACAGAGCATAGACCTGAACTGTAATGTTATGTTTAGTCCTTGCTATTCATAATAATAAATAATAAAACATGTGCATGTTATACATTTGTTTAGCTAGCTTAGGCATGACTATCATACTTTTACCAGCTTAAATGATTCTCCTACTGTCATGTGCTTGGAAGTACGATGTATTTATGTTTTGGTGCCTTAACTCCCAGCTCTGTTCTAACTGTACTTGCATTACACTCCGCAGACTGCTCCAGCAATTTAAAGCATGTATCTACAGTAAAAATGCTTTAGCAAAAGGACATCCTGTGGGTCAGTTTTAATGAAATGAAATTTTTGAAAACCCCTAAGGCCCTTTTCCCTTGTTTGTAATTGTACAGCCATTTGCCTTTATTACTAGTTATATAGATTACATGGTTTTGACAGCTTTCAAATAATTGTTATTAAAAGAAAATTGTAGTGGCAATTACAGGAGATTGTGGAAAACTGGTATTAGCTAAAATGGTAATTTTTTCCATGTCTCCAAGGAAATACAGGTGCTTGAAAGAAGAAGATTCAGCTCCTGTACAGATTTAGTAGAGATTGAGTGCTGTGTAACCACGCAGCTTTCTGTACATCACATTGACTGGGAAAAGTCTTCATTGCCTGTAGTATGGATAGATTTTAAAGCTTTGATCTGTTTTTTCTTAAACTTTAAACTCAATTCTCTTTTTATGTGTGTCTCTTTGACACATATAAAAGTGTGTCAGCTCCAGGAATGTCAGCGGTTGTGTCAGCAATTGCCCACTTCCACGCATCTTTACTGACTGGGGAGGGTAGTGCGTTAGAGGTGCAAATGAGATGAAGAGGAAGGGTCCAGAGTGAAATACGTAGAAGGCGCAGATGGCTGTGGAAGGAATCACCAGAGGACAAGGGATTAATCTTTAAGTCATTTTTATCATATGCTTCAAGATTCCATCTGTAGATAAAAGCTTTCCTGGTATAACAGCAAAGGTTAGGGCAAATACAGTGTATATAAATCCTGTAAGTGCTGACAACCACATGCAGAATCTTACACAGACAGTGACGAGAGACTTGAGAGCTCGGTGAAGGGAGGTATTGCATGGTGCGAATTAACATGGAAAGCATTTGGACAGGTTGGGGGAGGGAGCATAGTTATATATTCATAGTCCTTATAAAAAAATTTGATGTATGAGAAAATGAGAATGTTGATCTTACTGACCCTGAAAAAACTTAATTCAATGAAGGCTTTTCTTTTTTGTAAAAAACGTAGAGGTGTATCCGATATACTTAATAGCTTTGTAAATACGCTAGTAAGTCATAAAATAAATGAGACAGAGTGGTGGAAAAACCTCTCTGGCTGTGCCAAGGGTCTGTCTGCTGTCAGGATACAGTTATTAGGAAACCTATAGAGTTATGGTCTAATACTTGAGGGGTGGGAAAATCCATGTTTATTGGGTTTATTTGACAATAAATTTACAATAAATAATGCAGATTTAGCTTAATTGCTCTATGCTACCCACTGCAGTTACCCTTCCTGGTAGACCGGTGTGTAAATGTACATGCATACCACTTTAAAACACGTGTTGGTGTTGTGATCTTCTCTGACAGATACTTGTCTTTATTTTGGTGAAGTTTCCTCTCTTCCTGGGTTATTCATTTTCTTGTAGTAACTAATTTTGGGTAGAACATACGTTCACATTCTTCTTCACTTGCTTTTTATTTTAACTCACATGGGTCAGATGTTATTTGACGTGGAGTATGTAGTAGTGATATTTGAAATGACATGTATTCAGTGGTCACATACGCAAATATTTCTTACCTGTAGGACAGAAAAATAATTCTTACGTGTATTTGAAATAATAATAGCATTGGTCTTATTGGGTCAAATACTGTCTGTGACAGTGTGCTCTCAAGTATTTCAGAACTGAAAACGGCACGCTAAGCAGTCAAGACACCAGTTCTCACAGAACAGGCCCAGATTAACAAATAAAATTAAAAATGTGTGTAAGTACACAAAACTAAAATAAAGACATTAGCAGTTGAGTTAATGTAAAATGCAAAAATGTAAAATGTTTTCTTGCACTCTGACATAGTGTTATGATTTTTTTTCCCCCCTGGATGTTTTTATTACAGTATAGTGTTAGGTTATAAATTTGGCTTAAAAAAATTCCAGAAATTAATTTTTAAAATAATCTTCTGTTTTTAGAAGATTATAAACTTCTCCTGATCCAGCTGTTTTTAGTAGCTTGGCTTAGATTCAAAATTGAAAAATTATTTTAACAAGAGACACATGGTAAGAGCTTATGCGGTTTAATCGTTTAAACACTGAATGTTGATCAATGAAAAGTGGCTAATATTAAATACTTTTCTGATAAATACTGCCTAATTCTGTTGCTGCAAGCTCTGGTAAGTATCCATGGGTCTCTTCTTTCCTATGTACATGCAGGCATGCAACCTATGCAACCACTTATATCTTTCTAGTAAAAATACAAGTAATAAAAGTACCTTGTTTTTTTTACAAAAAAAAAAAAAGGGAAGATCACTAAAACCTGACACAGTCAAAAAATTCAAATTTATGATCGACAGCCATAGTGCCTATTGTGGTTTCAAGTGTTTACAAAATTGTATTGAGCTGTCTTCTGCAAGTTTGAATTTTCTGCCTATCAAACTGCTTCAATCTTAACATTTTCAATTTCATTTTGTATTCATTTAGAAGTTTTCTCATATGTATATACACACAAGCATGTATACAGTAAGTGTGTATATGAACATATGTTCCAGTAAACGTACTACGTGTTTGTGGAGTTAGTGCATGGTACCTTTCCTTTGATGTTCTAGAGAGATTAATTGCATCTGAACTTAAATGAAAATGCTTTTTAAGAAATATTGTCACAGTGCCCTCAACCTCATAGGCTTATACAATCAAGCTGAAAATAAGAAGCACTTGCACAGGAACAGAAGTTTTCATCTCTTCTATTTGTTCAAATTATTATGGAAAAGTTGCTCAGTATTCTGGATGTTAGGATTTTATATTTGCAATTGAATTTTAATCATAGAATGTGTGTTGCCTCTGTGTCTCTTCAGCTTTTTAGGAGGAGCAGTATACCTCTGTCAGCTGCTTCAAAGAGGGAAACTAATAGGTTGGGTTATTTAGTCATTGTGTATGGAAGCAAAGTTTTCTATTTTAGTTGCTCATTAATGTTAAGTCCCTACTGGGGTCTTGGTCATATGATTACTTAGGCAAATATTTCAGGTACACGAGCAGTCTAATTTCAGTAGCAATGCTTCTGTGTTTGATATAAAGTATCTATACAAGTGTGTGGAACATCAAGGACCAAACCCGTGTCATCTGAATTAGTATACAGAAGATTTTCTTCCCAAAATATGAGATTAGATGTAAATTTTAAAAAGAAGCCTTTTTTATAACAAGTTGATGTGGAAAAAGTTTGCATTGAGTCTTTTGCCCACCAACTTTATTTACTGCTAGTAAAGCCAGGTTTTTGTTGAAGGGCTAGGAATTTTTTTTCAACTGGGCAAAAAAAAAAGTAAAGTGTTATGTATTTATATTTTTGCAGAAAGCATGATCCCTTTCTCCCTCTTTCTTTTTTTTAACAAAAGAACTTGTTTCAATTTATTATACATGTCTAACCATACAATTATCAATGCAGCATCCCATAACTAATGCTGACCCACTGTCCCACAGAAAAAGATGTTCATTGTGCATTTGAAAGGTTGAAAAGGTTTTTGTGGTTTAAATGTTGTTACATATTTTACAGCATTAGGATCTATGGAATATTTTGACAACTGCAACAGTTCAATGAAGTTGGTAATTTCTTCTTTTAATTATTTTTCATTGAACAGATTTGGAGTTAAATTTTTAAGACTTGTGTTCTGGTATATTATACAGGAACATTTTGATGAAATGTGTCATGATTTTTTTTTTTATCTTATTGCAAATTAGCTAGAGATTGTTGCCTTTAAGGTTATTAGCCTTTAAGCTAAGGTAACCACTGGCGCATAATTTTGACAAAACAGTGTGGTGTTCCTTTCAGCTAGTGATCGTACGTGTATGACTGCACATCCTCTTGTAGATGAGCTGATGCATGGGCTTCAAAGATTTATCTGCAACACCCTAATCCACATACAGAGACTGGCTTTACGCATGCCATTGAGTAAAATACTGGTTGATAAAAAGCTTCAGTTTTTTCCACTTCCTTCCCCATTCCCATACTAAACACAGTGCAAATAGTGTCTTGAATTGTTTGAGATATGTTAAACAGAGTTTTGTTAATTAAATAGAGTATCTTTTAATACTAAAATTATTTATAAAAACATCTTCTCCAGATACATTGTTTTCACTTGTGTATGTGACGCCATTGTTTTTAAACTTCCTCAAAAAAATTCTACTTGGCTACTTCAAAAAAATTAAGAACTCCCCCAGTAGACCATGCACTATTTTTTTTTTTTTTTTACCTTCCACCCCTTTTTCAACATCTTGCTATAGGAATTTGCAAAAGGTTGCCTGTCAGAGACCTGTAAAGAATTAATATATCTTTAACTGGCAGCTACTAAATTTGAGAATGTTCTTAGAAGGGGGAGGGGAAGGGGGAGCCCCAAAATAACGCTCCTCATCCTCCCCGAAAAAACAAACCAACCAACCCTAAGTATTGAGTTTCCCTAGCATTCTTATTAAGTTGGATTTAGATTTGTCGTCTTACATTGTTAGCACAATGATGTACTCTATGATGTGAAATTCTATTTTTCTGTTTAATTTTTAGTAGGTAGTACATTAATCAGATCTTAATCAAATCAGATATTTTTGATTAAATGCAATTATTTTCATAGTAAGGGGTAACACTTTATTTTAAGTCTTCAATCTAAATTCTTAGTATGGGCACGAGCCATGGAAATATTGTAACTTCAGTAGCCTCAACTTCCCTATGCTCAGCTCTGTTGGTAATATAAGAATACCTTTGGGTTACTAATCTAGAAAAAGTTAGTGTTTTCATTATAATTATCCTGATTGTAATTACTTTTGTATTTTTTGCTTTAACTACTACATTTACTTACCCTAAACACATAAAGTTGAATAGAGAGCACTTAAAATAAAGCATACCTTTTTCAGTTTAAAATAATTTCCAACATACAGGTGTTTGATAAGACTCTTATAGGATTATTTAATTTAAATTATAATTAAAGATTTACTTATCTAACACTTTAATTTTTTTCATTAATATATATGTAGTACCTTATTCTTAATTAGCCTCATACTGTAGTTATACGCATTAAAAATCCTAATACTGTTAATTAAACTAACTTCTTTCTTATGTTAACAATTTTTGTAAATTATTTTTTCTTTTCTTGCAGCAAGGAGCAAATAACGCAGAAAAATTTGACTACGTAAGTTAATGTTACAACACTTTTTTTTTTTTAACTAAATCCAGTGGTAAATTCTCAAGATGGCAAGGGAATTGCAAGTGAAATTTTAGTAATTTCAAATGCTTTGTCTTTCTATCTGTACTTGGTTGTTTAAACATACAGTGATTTGGATTGCTTTGTAAAATTGTGTTACAAGATTTAGGCTAAGGCTGGATTGAAAGCTCATCAGTTGTAACTTTTTAATGTCTGAAAATGTTAGCATGCTTCCCCCCCCCCTCTCTGTCTCCAACAGGTGATGCAATTCATGAATAAAATGGCTGGTAATGAGTATGTTGGATTCAGTAATGCTACGTAAGTACTTTTTGTTTACTTAATGAAGTTACATGGAAAATGCCTCAACTGATAGTTGGCGTATTGAGCTTACAGCAAAGATCAGTCATTTACACTGAAACCATCATTTCATCCCTAATATTAGAGGGTGTCTTTGGCTTAAAATTGACACCAACTAAAGTTTTGCATATCTCTGACATCAGTGTGGCTAAATCTCACATAAAAGTGTTGGTTACCTCTGAAATGTCACTATTCTGTCTTAGTGCTCTGTTGGTGCTATGGCAGTGAGAGCTGTAAGTGCAACTCTTACCTTCCTGGCCTTCATACTAAAAATTAAACTCTGCATGTCGATGCTTTCTAAACATCTGATGTGAAGCCATACTTCGTACAATTGGGACTCTGTGCTTTTTCGGTTTGCATATTTAACTTTTTTTCTAAAACAATTCACCCTGTTATCTTAATGTATAGCATTCCAAAAATCTTGAGAGCTTTGTGAGGCAGCAAATTCTAAAGATTCCATACAGCAGAGTTGCTTGCAGGCTGCTAGTTGGCAGGCACGTGCAGAGAAGCAGAATGAGGTGACTCATGTTTTTCCTGAGCGTGGTTAATGTAGGAGTGTTTACCATGGAAGGAACCAGACAGGAGAGAATTACCTACCCTTGTATCCATACTGATTCCTCCTTTAGGCTTCATCCTGAACTTAATCATTACGATAAACAGTACGGCCATCAGTCTGGTCGCAGTTTGACCTGCAGCTTCATCCTCGGATTCCTCTGTAGTTTGGTCATCATTGCCAGTGAATGACCCTTTCACTACAGCTCTTTGCAGGATATTTCATTCCACTATGGTCTTTTTAGAAATGCCTTTAAGAGCAGGATCTTATGCTCCTTTGCCTTTATCTCCAAGTCAGCTTATGCATGTGTAGGTAACCAGTACTGCATGTATTTGGATGTCAAAGCTAATTCAGTCCAACTGGGTGTATGGGGGTGAGCTTCTATGGCAATTTCTGTCCTGTTAGTACAATGTTTGTGTTCAGAAGTAATGGATCCTTTACATGCAGTTTTATAGAATTATGTTACACGCCTCAAGTTCAGCATTTTCTGAAAATTTGACATGTTGTCCTGTCTTTTTTTTATTTTATTTTAAGGTTCCAGTCCGAAAGAGAGAGTGGAGATAGAAACTTTGCAATTGGCTATTACTTGAAAGAAAAAAAGGTTGATCTCTCTTGTTTATTGTATTTTGAAGGCTGTTTGGTGGGGCTTTTTTCTAGTCTCTGAAGATTTTTTAAAAAATTTATTTAATGTACAGTATGGCATAAATTAATACTGTATAGTTTTCATACTGTTATTCAAAATGCTGTAATTTAGAAAGTGTGATACTTATTCTAACAGAATAGCTGTAATCTTCTTTCTGTATCATAGCCATGATAATTTGTTTGTTGTAAAATGCATAACCTGTGCTGTACAGATGACTTCATTAAACTCCTAGCTGGATTTTGCAGTTTGCCGATTTAAATACATTGAAAGCTGTACTGAAAAATATTTTAATACCTAGCTTATTGACCTGACTGCACTGTTATTTTTGAGTGTGACGTGATTTAATATTTCTACTTGTTACATTTAAATAAATACTTAATTTTAAATCTGCCTAATGCTTAATGTGCTGACAAGAATATAGCTCAATTAATGTCTCTCTAAAAGTGGTATTTTAAAAAAAAAAAAATTTAACCTAAAGACATTCTCTCTCTTTCTTCCTCAGTGTTTTCCTGAAGGCACGGATATGGTTGCTATACTAGACTTCTATTTTCAGGTAACTGACTTTAAAACTGAGACCCATTATAGACTTAGAATTAATATTATAAGCAGCAGAAGCTGATTTGTTCATAGATATGAAGGCTTTAATGGCTTATAGTTAAACCTGTCAGCTTCTGTTAAACTCTGGAAATGAATGATGTATATTTGAAGTATCCAGATTTGCTTTTGTTTAGGTGATGTATTTAGATGTCTTCATTGCTAATGAAAACCAGCAATAGTCTTGAATACAGTAGTAGTTAGAAGCTCAAAATGTCTTGTATTACTTCAGGGAGTTTGTCAAAATATTTCTGCTTCTTTGGGTTGCTGCTCTTTATTGTACCGTGATGTACTTTAAGCTCTGTAACTATAACTATAACTATATGCGTGCTCTATCATAAGCTCAAGGGTAGTGGTATAATATAAATGAAATTAGTGTCTCCTCCTTTTTGTTTGATTCAATGCTTATGGGCAAAACAAAGAATCTAGTTACATATTCTCCCCTCCCCCATTTTTTCTTTTGCACTTTCAGCAAGTTATTTGCAATCATCACAAAATGGGAACTTGGCAAATGTGAGGTATTTCCTCAGTAAGGGTTTCCTAATGTTAAAACATTCACAGCTCTGCTCTGCTGCATGTAATTCTCTAGAGACAGTTCAAGTTGTGTTACTGATTCAGTCAGTCTGGGATAGTTTAAAAACAAAAATCCAGAGTTTAGTTCTCAATGAATCTGGTTTTGATTCATGAGATTTGTTTTTACTTATGCAAATTATAAACAATATTTGTTTAAATGCGAACTTCATGTGAGTTTTGTTGTATTGGAATGCACCTGCTCTAATCTGTAAATTGAATGACTGTTTATGCAGTAAGGTATATGTGATTAGCCTTAGTTGACCTCTTGTTGAGTTGGAAACTAGGCACAAGCTACTAGCCTACTCTGAACTTCTGTTATTACAGAACAAAATTGATAATGTATTTGAATTTACTGTTTAAACATGCTTTTTAAATGCTTCCTATCCCACTGCCTCAAGCCCTGATATGCTCTGAGTACAAAGCTATTCACAGGTTAAGAAATGCCAAAACTAACTTTTCTGATGTGTTTTAATTTGGCTTCATTTTTGTGCATTATGATCTCTAATTTAATGACTACGTGTTGTTGGTTTTTTTTTTTCCGCTTGCAAAATCCCCTTTTCACTCCATACTCAGCAAAAGGGCAGCTCAGAAACAAGCGGCAATTCTGTTTTCCTCTCGCTGTATAAAGCTTACTTTCAAACACTCTACTCAGATTCTACTTGAAAGGCTAGTTACTTCTTTTCTTTGGGTTTTCCGTAATGCTCCTTCCTCCCTTGTGTAACTGGTTACTTTGTGAACAGGAATAAACTTACTTTCCTATTGTCTTCTGTAAAGTGAGGATGGATTATTCTCATTTTAGAGAACTGAGGTACAAAATGCAGGTGCTTAAACTGAGAACCTAGAAACACTTTTTTCAAAGTAGGTGATATTATGTAATACTTCATATGTTTAAAACACAGTTGCCATTTTAGATGCGTCTCTGACAATCTCTTGATTTGCAACTCCAGTTGATTGGACTAGGATGTATTGAGTTTGGCACCCGGAAAATAAGAATTCCAGGTAGTAACTACTCATGCAAACTTGGCTTAGGTAACTTCATGAAGTATCATGTAATGACTGTTTGGCAAAAGCACAAATAGAAGCACTAGTTTGTTTACTTTTCAGAGTAGCATTTCAGCTTCAGGTTGAAACCAGCTTATCTTTTGGTTTCTGCAGAAATGAGGCAGCATCAGGTGATGGCATCATATCACATTTCCTGATGTGTCACCAAAGTATGTATAGTCTGTACTGAAGCAGGGATCCTGGGAGAAACTATCATGTGGTTGTATCGTTAATATATCAAAAAGAATATACAAGAGAAAGGTGAAACAAGGCTGCATCAATAGGAAGTGCTGGCATTAAGACTTGCATGTGCTAGAGTTTGCAGCTTTAAAATGTACTTCTAATAGATGTGTGTGGTCTTCTAAGGCTTAAACAAAGCCACACAAAATGTTAAATACTATCCCAAACTATAAAGAGGGCTTACAAACACTGTTGCTGGGATCTTAATAGTAGGAAGATTCAGATCTTATTAATTGATGCTACTAGCGTCATCTGTAACAAATGCTACGCTACAGGTTATTTTATGAAATGTTATTTCTGTAGAGACATATTGTTGATCCTGCTTTAGTTGGCCTTATTGTGCTAGAAGTATCAGTTCTTATAATCTCAATTTCTTTTTCATAAGCTTTGCTCAATAGAAGTAACATGTGAATCGGCAAGTGTGATGGCAGCAACTTTGGCTAATGGTGGCTTTTTCCCAATCCCTTGGGGAAGTCCTGAAGCAGTCCGGAATACCTTGAGTTTAATGCATTCCTGTGGCATGTATGACTTCTCAGGGCAGTTTGCCTTCCACGTAAGTAGTTTTCAGTTATTACTTATAGCTGACTAGGAAGATTAAACTGTGCTATTATTTTCCATGTTCCAGGGCTTGCTTGCTTGCTTCTGGGGGAGGAGAGAGGGTGTTAAATGTTTAAAAATTGAACACACCGTGTGGGAAAACCTCATCTGGAATTCATGGCACTAGTAGTACACCATATCTTATAGTACTTACTATTCTCTGCCATTTCACATTTGGGAATCCTTTTAATGTTGAAACATAAATACTGTCCCTTAAGAAAGGCTGTTCATGAGAGAAACAGGTGATTGATGCAGATGTAACTGGAAACAGCATCACTGAAGAATTCCTGCTTATGGTAGTAAAGGACAGCAGAAAGCCTTTGCAGGCAACTGCTTTTTCTTCAAGCCTGCTGTTTCATGAATTGCTCTCATGTGTTGTGAAAGTGGCTGTCATACACAGCAAGTGTACCATGCTTCTGTTTTCCAGCAGTATGTTTCTTATAAGTATTTCAAGATACACTGCATCTTATTTGTGTTTTCATCATCTTGTTTTGAGTGTTATTAGTTTTTCCTCATTGCATACATATAAAATTGATTATGATGCTTTGTGTGACCTAAAAGTTAACTGCTTACAGAACTATAGGGATATGTGACATGTTAAAAAAAAAAAAAAAAAAAAATAGGTTATTGTATGACTTTTTGGACAGACTCCTGGTTTGTTTGGGGTTTTAGTTTTTACATTTTGCAGTCAAAGGTTTTTTAGGTATACAGCTTTGTACTACTGCCTTGTGGCAAACTGTTCATGACAGATACACTTGTATACTACTGCTTAGTCAAAATTGCTTTTTAATAATAGAATTTAATTATCTTTTTCACGGTATTAATGACTTTCTGTTTTACTGAGAGCAAGTAACTTCATCATCAGATTGCCATGAATTGTGCTTCAGGTTATTGTCTGTCTAAAAAAAGCGATAAGTAATAATGCTTTCCCAGCTTAAAATGCTTTCCAGATCTACATTCTATAGATGTTGCGTAATAATCTTCAGTAAAATGCTAACACATTGTGCTACAATAGTGAAGAATGTTTGTAGAGGACAGTAATTCTCTAATTATTCTATAGGTTGGTCTTCCTGCAAAATCTGGAGTTGCTGGTGGGATTCTTCTGGTTGTTCCTAATGTCATGGGCTTAATGTGCTGGTCACCTCCTTTGGACAAGATGGGCAACAGTGTTAAAGGAATTCACTTTTGTCATGTAAGCAGCATTGCCTTTAATGGATTTTGTTTGTTGGGTTTGGTTTTTTTTCTTTTGCAGCTGATGTTTACTGAGCTTCAGTTACTATAGCTGAGATATAAGTGAATTAAATAGTGATTTGTTACTCTTCCACACGTAGCAAGTTTCATAAGATACAAGAGTGAAAGTCCAAGAAGAGACGTGTACGTTTTAGTAATAAGTAACACTTTAATTCAGCGAGCATTAGGAAAATATGATGCCAGAAATACTGGAGAAATTTATTGTGGAAAAAGCTTTGAAAAGGAACACTTCACGAAGTAATGAAAGAGCTGGTCTCCTGTATACTGCATTAGAAGCTGTAGAGCTCTATTTATAGACTTCTTTTCCTCTCTAGTCATAAAGAATTTTCAAAACCATGGAAATGCAACTCTTATTTCATTACAATAAAAGAAAAAGATTCTCATGAAATATTGCTCTTCTGATGTATTTTTAAACTGATTTTTATAAACAATCTGACATAAAACATGTCTTCATAGATCAGACACAGTTGCTGGGCAAGCTCTTCCTAGCTTAGTCTCTTACTTTTGAAAGGACTGTGGACAGTCTGTTGATAGGCCCATTAGTAGCAGGAGAGATTTTTGTAGAGTGCTTTGTAATGATGAATAAGGATGTTTTGTGGGAGAAGAGAATGTAAAAACTTCTGTCCTCCTGTTTTCTCCCTAAAACCACCTTGTAATACTGATTAAGTTGTTATAAATGGCGAGGGGGGGAAGTCTCAAAAAAGAGAATAGTAGGCTGTATAGAGCCCCACAGAAAATATAAGGTTATTGGTAATATTTTTTTTTTTTTTTTTTTCCAAATTAGTGATGACAGCTAAGGTGCAGTGATACTAGTTTGGATGGACTTCAGTTCCTAGGCTGAACACCTGTATGACTACTCTTCACTTAGCTTATCAACAACAGCATGGGATTTACAGTATGCAAGGGCTTAGTTTGGATGAACAGCAGTTACAACTTTTCATACTTCTATTTATCTAACAACTGTACAGCTGCAAATTAAGAGTACTAAGAAGTGACTAATTCTAGTTTAAATACTTTATAAAAGTTTCATGTGTCATAGTCTTGTACTTGATATTTTAAATATAAAATGAAAGAACTATAGGTAGGTGAAGGATTTACTGCATTTATTCTGTGTTATGAGACCTAAAAACTGACAGGTGATTGTGGCATACAAGTAACATGAATGTAATATTCACTTTTTTTTTTAAAAAAAAAAGTGAATGAGAACTTTGCTGATGTTGTAATTACAACCTTTATGTTGTAATTCAAACTGAATTAACATCCATTACATCACATGTTTTCTTGTTTCATCCTTTTGATTGAAGTTTTATGCACTTAGACTAGCCCAGACTGTTCTTCCTATTCCTGAAGTGTTTCATACAGCTGGAGTAGAAATATAGTAAAGTAGATATTTTGCAAATTGCTACTTGTTTTGTATTTCCTTAAAAAGGAGTTTAACGGTGTTAGAACTTAATCATGTCATTGTATTATGTTCAAAGGGCCTTACAGACATTGGTATTGACTTACTAAATAAGCTTCTCTTATTACTGGTTTAAGTAACTAGAATATTATGTAAAACATAAGTGGTAGTATTATTATAATCTCATATGCGTTTGACTATCATACACAAATAATAATGTATGTTTACTAAATATTTGCAGGATCTGGTTTCTTTGTGCAATTTCCATAACTACGATAATTTGAGACACTTTGCAAAAAAGCTTGATCCTCGCAGAGAAGGCGGTGATCAGCGGGTAAGTTAATACGTGTGTTCAGTGAGTATTGCTTGTAGACGTCAGAAGAAATATGGAAAGTTCCTCTCTAAAAGCAAAACTGCTCAATGACATGTATTGCATCAAAGCTTTCAGATAAACTAGTTAGTTTACATTATTAGTGGAGACTTACCTGGGTGGACCACACTGTCACAGGGTTTGTATAGTAGAATTTCATACTAGATTTGTAACTCCATTTCATGCAGTTCATCTCCCTTGCTAGAGTAAGTATATAGTATCTGATAAAAGCTGCAAAGAGTTCTACTGTACTGGTTACCTTTAATAAAGATTTGACCAGCTGGTGGGCTTAGCCTTTCTCTTCTGTGCTGCAGTGCATGAGATCTATGTTTAGCGTTTGTTCCATAGTGATATATCTGAGACAACACAACTTGCTGAGAGTTGCACAGGCAGTGAATTCAGGTGTTAGGGTGCTGTAGACAAGTGCCCGTTACTAAGGAAGCGGTATAAGCAATCTCCGGGAACGAACTGAATCCACTACAGCTACATGTACAAACGATAGAAGCGTGAGGGTGCTCGAGATAAGGAAAACCTCTTAGCTTTTATTACCATTGATGTTTAAACTAAGGCATGAAGATTTGAATAGGAGAAGATACAGTAGAATGATTTTTAAAGTGCTTCTATTTGCATGTATACATCTAAGAAATACCCAATTTGGAATTTGAATTTTTTGTAACTGGAAAAGAGGAAATAAGTTTTATGTCGAGAGGTGAAAAACGAGTCTGTTAGCATTGACTGCAAGTATGGATTTTTTTTCCTTCAAATACACTAATAAATAACGTATGTTGCTTGAACAACTAGCATTCCTTTGGACCAATGGACTATGAGAATCTCCAGCAAGAACTTGCTTTAAAAGAAACAGTATGGAAAAAAGTGTCACCTGAATCAAACGAGGACATCTCCAGAACCGTAGTGTATAGAATGGAAGGTCGGGGAGAGCAAAACTAAACAAATGGGTTCTAGCTTCATTAAATTCTTCATTTTAAAAACCCTCAAGCATCTCTAGATTTAACTTTGGTTTGAATATTGTTTGCCTGGTGTTTCATTTATATATACATTTTGTGTAAATTCTGTATGCTATACCAAAAAGATTTGTCAGGGTTCAAGGGAGGGTGTGGGAAAGCACATGCAAACAACAAAAACCAAAACTGTTAACTGACTTTTGTAGTTACTTAAAACGCATTTACTTAAAAAAAAAAAAAAAGGTACATCTGAATGTTTTTCAAAGATATACCACTTCTGTGTATATCTGTTTATTTTTGTTTATATCTGAGAATATTAAGTAAATTAACTTGAGAGCTAAGCAAGAACTTAAGATGTGTCCTCTGATCAGGGTCAGCATGTAACGACAGAAGAATTTTAATTAAAATATAAAGTAAAATAGAGTAAGCAAAATACTCAGATTCATGAATCTCTAAATAATTGTGTATTAAGCTGAGATAGGTTCTGAGTCATGTTATTGTATCCTGTTTGTTTTTTTTAATATGAGCTTTCAAATTGCTTTCAGCAGAAATGGATCCTTTGGATATGCCATGCTAGTGAGGATTTTTTTTTTTTGATCAGACATATAATTAGTAATGCTAACATTTAAATAAAAAGAGCAAAAATGGCTGGGGAGGACTGGGAGAAGGGAGTGGGGGAAGCTGCCTGTTTGCAAGTTCACTAATGCAGCAGCAAGATGGCTCACTGAACTATGTGAGTGCCTTTGCTAGCTGCCTGTACTGCCAGCTGGTAGTCATGGCTCGGAAGTCTGCCTTACTCATACTGCTGGGCTCCACCCCGGAGAGGAATGAAAGCAATCTGGGGTTTAGAGTGGTAACCAATGAAGTAGCAAGCAGGAAATATATTCAGAGCAAAGCAGACTGGTAGATATTATTAAAACTGTTTACAATTAACTTATTTTTCAACCGCTAATGTGCATGCATGTTCATATATAAGACCAGAAGTTTCATTTGCTTAGACATGAGCAAATTTTTTAAAAGTTACCATTAATTTCTACTTTTTAAAATGATTGTGAGTTTGCACCTCTGTCAGCTTGCTAAGAAACAGGACGTGCATTCTTCTGCAGGCAACAGCATCTGTTCATCTGCATAATTTGATCATTTTGAGTATATTGAGTAGAGTGTATCTTGAAATGGTGTATGTAAGCTTCGAACAGGCTCAGTAGGCGATGCTGGACAGAGGGCACAGACTTGCTAAATTCTTGACACTTGTAGCTATTAGCCTTCTAATGATTCATGGGCGAGTTTTGCATGAGGGGGGAGTTAGGTTTTTCCTGCCCCTTTTTTTGACCCATCTGGGTGTTTGTGAATTCAGGAAAATGCATAAAGCAAAGCTGATGTTCTCTGATAAGGCAAGCTGTTCTCAATTACTGTTTAGATATTGTTAGTTTTGCATAAACATTTGAAGTAAACTCTGACTAAACCCGTTCATCTAGTAGGGTATTGTAAAAGGATGGGCTTCCTGTCTTTGAAGCCTAGGAATAAAATGTTTAAGCAAAACAATACAGAACATCAATTTTGAGTGAATTTGAAAGCCCTACTGGGATGAAGAGAGAAATCCGTGGTGCACATGTCAGTAATAAGTGTCAGTCATAAATTGCTGAATAATAGCTGGTTTAGAATCTTATCACTGACGATAAGGTTAGGTATGTCAGTGCTTATCTTGAAAATAAAGGAAAATAAGTAAAGGCAAAGTCCTGAATTATAGGAATGTCTCACCTGTTTGAGGATTTTGCAGTAAACTAGTAGTTACAGAGGCATAACAAGCATTCACATCCTGCAAAACTACATGTCTTTACCTGAAATACCCTCAATTGCGGGAGGGAACATCATGTGTCTGTGCTGCTAATGAAAAGTATTTACGGTGATGACATGTTGCCTATTAAATTACTGGCTTAATTAAAAAAGGAAAACGTATGATGCAGGATTTGCTTGATCTCATTCTACACACATTATTTTCTGATTTTTTTTTTTAGTACTATTTGAAGTTAGTTCTAAAAACGTGGTTGAAGATGGAAAATTGTTCCATCTGGGTTTCAACTTGAAAATGAAAATCTTTACCGTATTTGTCAGTTACATATAAAACTTGTGGTAGAGGCAAGTCCTGCATGGGAAATACAAAAATAAGGAAACTGAGATCTTTAATATGCATAATAAGAATATTTAGGGTACAGCTTACACAATCTTTACTTTAGATATATATATATTACAGTTCTGTAATATATGCTTTTGAAGCCTGTCTCGGAATTTAAGCCAGCCTCTAAGTTAGGAGGGGTCAGGAGGAGCCTCTTTTGGACCAATTATTTTGTAACTTGCCGACACTCACAGTTTCTTGTCCTGGCCTGCCATGTCTGCAGATGGCTCTTGTTCATGGCAGGGTACACGGATAGCTGGGGCCATGGTTAGGTCTGCCAGGACAACTTACCCACGCCTGCATTGTGTTTGGTGAGCGGGTCTGAAAGAATGCGCTGGTAGAGGCTAGTCATTGAATGTTTGAGGTCTGCAACGGTTTTAGTGTTCACCTGTGCTACAGTAATAGCAATTCTTGATATTCAAGCATTTTAGCTGTTTGTTTGTTTTTCTTTGTCAGCATCATTAACATTTCATTAGAAATGTAAATGCTTTTTTAAAATTTTATTTTAGCGTTTGTGTTGTACTTTTTGGCTCAGTTGTTAAGTTACCTGTCTCGTTTTCCATTTTTCATTTGCATTGTATGTTATTTATGTATCTCTATTTCCAGCATGCTTATTTTTGTATTGTTTAATAAATTTATTTTAAGCTGATTTTTATTGTATTTTTTTTTTCTCAATAGAGAACAGATCTGTGCAAACACATTTTTGAGACTGAAGTGAGATAGTGAGCACTCCATTCTAAAAAGATAAAGTTATGGAAAAGTAGGTGGAATAAACAGATTTAGTTAAACCAGTCATTGAAAACCCTCTTAAGATTTCTTAAACGTTTTGTACAATAATCTAATTATTTTTTCTCTTTGAACTGTTATCTTAGAAAGTTGAAAGCAAAAATCAAAGTAGCAAAACTTTCTCACTGTGACTTTGCTAATAAAAATGTCATGGTGCAGTAGGATATTAATGTCACGGCGTATTTGTGGGGTTTTGAAGATGCTAATTCAGTCACTTGGAAAATATGTAGTTAATGGTACCAGTGCCAGGGTGGTAACTGTTGATCTAGAGCATTATGAAGTGAAAAATACAGCTTGTAATAAATCATGCATAGCACGGGAGGTGGTCCAAACCCCACATCCTTGTACTAGTGGCAGTGGGCTCTGAACAATGTTTAGCTGGGTCTGGGTTCCTGGCAAAGCACTTGTCAGCGGTTTAATTTTTTTCCGTGAAAATTCATTTGAGATACTAAATAGTAGACGTATTTATAATGTGATTATTCTGAGGCAAGATTTTGTCACTAGAGACATGCCCATACTGAGAATGGCCGTAATTATTAATGTAGCTTTTCTGTAGATTGATTTATGAACTGCAGTTACTTGTACTGTGTTTTTAAAAGCTGTATGTTCATTGTACATAGAATATCACATATCAAAAGACTTAATTCTCTGAAAGTCACAGAGCTGAGGAAAGGTAGAAGAGTAGTAGATCCAAAGAGAGAACCGCAGGTGGTTTACTGTAGAAGCATTTTGGCTTTTATATTTTGTTTTACATTGTGCATTTCTGTCAAAAGACCAGTGGGTGGGTAGAGGAATAAAAAGGCAATGGAGTGAGAAGAGGGGGGTGGTGGTGGTGGTGGAATAGCCTATGTTCTTTTTTCAATGTTCTTAACTTCCCTTGGTCTTGATACATACATGTCATTGATGCACAGTAGTTAGCTGTGAGCAAAGTCATTTAATTACGAGCTTCGTAAGTTACATACAGTGTTTTAGTATCCTAAACGGTGTTTGTAGGCTTTTAGTATTTTTTAAATTTTGTTCAGATATTTCTGTATTTTTCTGGTGGGAGTTCAGGAGCAGTTATTTCAGTGAAAGAAGAATAGACTGTTTCTCAGCAGAGTTCTTATTGGGATGACTAAATACACCTAATAATTGTCTTTAGTGCAGAGTCTCTTTGAGGAATTTGAGTGTCACAAATGTGTATAAGTAGTTGCAGGGATGGGAAGCAGATTTAAATCAGGTGGCAATCTAACTAAAACGTGATTATTTTTTTCATCCTGCTAGTATCTTGTCTGTTCCACGCTTCTTGTCCTGTTTAGAAAGCTCATGACCAAGTAGCGTGTGTAATGACATGCTTTTAAAGGATGGGTCCTGCACAGCCCCCCTGCCCCCGCCTTGTCTTTCAGGAGTTTGTGTCCTGGTATGTTGAACAGTTTGTTGCAATCTAAATTATTTAACTGCTTACTTTGAATCAAGCGTGGTTTCCACTTCACGATTTCCTCCTTTTGGAGAATATCGTGTGCAAAATAGAGATGTCCCATTTCCTTTTGCTTTTCATGCAGTTAGAAGTTAATTTTATTATTGGCTTCTAATGCTGTTTCACGCAGACCTTTGAATATCACTTGAGCACTTAGCATGTAAAAGTTTTTTGCAAGGCTTAAGTGGCACATCTCTGCATGTAGTTCAGTTACTTCTGAAAATGCACATGTGTTTCTTCTGTGCATAGCAGGCCTTATGGAATGGGTACATCTGAAGCTGCAGTTTAACTAAATAAAGCCCTACAATAGAATTCCAGGAGCATACAGTAGGCTTTCTGGAGTGTGGTGGTGGCAAACTGGGGTTTTTCCATCAGTTTAAGTAGTTTAAGCAGAGTTTAGGTAATGAAGCTGACGAGGATGCACGATCTATAGAAGAGTTAACTGGACCATGCAGACTTTTAAAAAGGGAAAGACAAATGGTGTGTAGTCACTGGCACCTCGGCACTAAGGCTGGTGAGGAAACAGGGTTGAGGGAAGGACAATGGGAAAAGGAAAGGATTTTAGAATGCTTTTCTACCCTCAAAAATGTTCCAGCGAGCTGTACTTTCATGTATGTCATTTATGCAGCGGGCATGCGGGGGAGCCTGTCTGTTCTCAGGTAACGCTTCCTGTTTCAGCTGCTGCTCTGCTCTGATTTTGACCTAGCTGGCACCTAGCTGGTGCCTTCTGTAGTGTCGTCCGCGTGCTTTCCTGATACCAGTTATGCTTGCAGAAGGCAAAAGCTGTCTTCCGCATGTAGTCTTTACAAATTTCCTCTGATACCTTTATCTCATCATTTACAGCAGATCTTCTCTGGTTAAGTAGCGCTGTTATTTTGTGAATTATGGGCAGCTGGTAGTGCTTCTGCTGTTAGAGATCTGTGTACATTAATTTCATCATTATTTGGTCAGACTTGGAATAAAGTCTGACTTCCCTGCCCCTAAATTTGCCCTTCTGCTAATCTGTTTGACATCTTGATTTTTCAGTGAAATTGTTTTAATTTGATTTTTATTTTTTACATTGTTGAGTATTCTGGAAATTTGAAGTAAATGTTTTGATAACGCAGTCAACAAATACCTGTTATTTTCTTTGGCAGGTTCTTTAATAGCTAAGTGCTATTATTAAGTAGGCTTTTCACTTGCGTTGCCAAACAGCTGGTATACAGAATTTGAAGTATGAAACCATAAGGTTGTAGAGCTTGGAAGGGGTCTCTGGAGATCATCTAGTCCAGCCCCTGCTCAAAGCAGGATCTAACATCAGTTAGATTGTGTTGCTCAGGGACTTTGCCGGTCAAGTGTTGAAAACCTCCAAGGATGGGGTTTCTGTAACCTCGCTGGGTAACCCATCCCGGTGCTTTACCACTTCCATTGTGAAGAATTTTTTTCCTAACCTCTAGTGGAAAATTTGCCTTTCTGCAGCTTGTGATGGTGACTCCTGTCTTTTCACTGTGCATGAGGAGCTTATAATCATGTGGAAATCTGGACTTCAGGGAATCCTGGAAGTGGTGTAGTTTAAAATAGCCTTTGGTCAGCTGTAACTAACCTTTTCACCTCCTGCTGTATTTCCCTACTTCTATACATTATATCATTGAAAATGAAGTGATTCAAGGATTTGAAAAAATGCTATATTGCCTTTATTTTTCTGCTAAAGACTAACAGGCTAAATGCAAACATGGAAGCATGTTATTTGCTGAGGGACAGCGTGTTACTGTTGGGACCCCTTGTGATCAGAGCACTTATTATCAAAACAATGAACTCGGAATGCAAGTGGAGTGATAGGAAGAGATAGTGTTGCTTGCTTCCTGTTGATGTCATTCACTAGTCCAGCTTTTTCCTTGAGGTAGGCAACTTCATTGTTTGTTTAGGAATTACTCATTCAAAATCAAAATTTTTTGGACTGGTAGACCTGGTTTTGGTTATATCTGTAGCTTTGGCTTTCTGTATGGTAAGTGTCTTTCACGCTTGTTTTAAAGGACCGGTCTTTTAAACTTCTCCAACCTGTAATTGTTTCAAGACAACTAATTAAAGTGTAATAGTTCTGATCAAATGTGTTTTAAAAAAAAAAACCAAAAACCAAACCACCCATGCCATTGCAGAAAAGGCTTAAGAATTATGGCAGCTGAGTACCTTTTGTCCCATATGCCAAAGGCTGATGGGGAATAATATGACTGTTCCCAGGGTTTGGAGAAAAAAACATTCAGGCAGAAGATTTGTTTAAGCTAATACAATATTTCCAATGCAAGAAAAGCAGGTACTGAATGAATAGTCTAAAAATTAGAAGAAGGTTTCTAGAAACTTCTTCCTAATAGTTTAGAAAAAATCCTCCCAACAAGAGTAGAGTGCAAATTTCTGGTATGATTTTCTCTATTCTGCTTTCAGCCTGTAGGGTGTAGTCAGTCTCTCGCTTGTAAAGTTTCAGTAAATGTCTTTTGAGAACAGCCTCCTTTATTTTGGGAATAATTCCAGCTCCGAGTCCCGTAGTTAAGAGTGAATGGTCATCCATAAATTGTGAAGTACCTACAGCCCGGAAAGCTTGAGCATTACTCTGTTGTATGGATATTGGTCGTAGTCAATAGGTCCTTGAAAAGGCAGACGCTCTTTTGTGCTGTCTGCTTAATATGGCTAGTGTCACTAAAGCATCCATCAGCATTCCGCTTTATTTGCGTGGCTATTGTTGATCCCAGTCCTTTGGTCCCAAATCTTGCAGTGTTAGTAATGTCTATATCCACTACTTCAAAGGCTCTTGTTTTGTGTGGGTTTTTTTTTTTCCTGCATCCAGAGTCAACTGGTCAGTGTTCATTCCCCTTGTTAAGATTTCTGTATATATTCTCTATGCTTTTGGTTGCAGAAGTGTTTGTAGGGGTTAGGCTATGAAAGGATCGAACAGGAGCTACTGAAGTCCGTATCATGAGAGGATGACAACCCTAAGATTCCTGTAACAGTTCTCTGCAAGAACTATTGTTTTACCATTTTGGAACTTCCAGTCATCGTAATTTACTGAGAAAACATTATTTTATTGCTGATAAGAAATGCTGAAAAACTTTGACAGCAGAGTAAGTTAAAGCCTTTGAGAGGGTCGTTCTTTTTTTTTCCCACATAACTTTTAAGATTTGGACATGGCAGCAAGATTCAATTATTTCCGTCCAAAATACTGATGGCAAATGCATACCACTTAAAACTGAAAATTTGCCTGGTCTTCATCTTCTGACTTGAAGGGTGAAAGTCCTTACGCCTTATATGTTTCACTTGATCTAGTAAACTTTTTGTTGAAATAATTTGCCTACCTGCTATTCTTTTGTCATACCATTCATGGCAAACAACACAGCAGTAACATC